TAAAAACTGACTTCATCTGAATGTCACACTTGACAGACAGCTTCACTTTGATCAACCATCAAACTCATGTCCATTTTAAAAAAAGCACTGTACATAAAATTTGTCTCAACTTAGTGTACCTGGTAAAGGTTCATATTGATTAAGTTATTTTATTTTGGTTTAACAACTGTAGCAAGTTTGGAGAATTGGTGGTAATCCTTGAAGGGCACTAAAGACTAACTAGTGATTATGAGTGCTAGGCTCACCACAATATCATCATCATTACAACAAAAAGTTAAAAACAGCAACAAAAGCAACAGAAATGGCCAATTACACATGATCAATAATTACATTACTTATCTAAAGATGAAGGGATATTGGCTACCATGCTAATTTAAATTCTGTGTAACAAGATCAGATTTTTTTATTGAATAATCGATATTCCTACAGTGAGTCAGAAGCAATTTCAATAGCCTTTTCCATATGTTTTGGAAATGTGTGAAAATTACAACGACATATTACATAAATACAAATAAGATTTCTGTGGGACATACAAAAAGGTATGTCATAATGTAAGTGTTACTTGGATCATTTTACTCCTTTGAATTTGGTGTGAAGAGAGAGAGAGAGAAACAGGGGATACAACCTGCAAAGTATCACCCAGATGACATGGTGAAGTCTGATTGTCTATCTCGTTTTACAGACGACCTGGCTGCCGTGCCTTGCAGCAGTGCCGCTGTGCTGGCTGACAGAGGAGTCCTAAAGCTAGCCGTGCTCTAGCTCTGCCAGAGTTACGGCTGCCAGACTAGGCTAGACTCGTGTCTGCCAGCTAGCTAGCTCATGATTTCTTATCTTAGCTAAGCAGTATTGTATTTTTCATGGGGTATGGTTTGTTTCAGAGGCAATCCAACTACTATGACATGTTTTATTAAATGTGAAAGCAGAATATTGAGAGAGAGAGGGGAGGGTGGTGAAAGTTTGAAAGGAATATTAAAAACAGATGATAAGAAAGTTCATGTTTGAAAGCTGAACATGCTATTAAATGTATGTGAACTTCAAACTAGGAAATCAGCCTTTTGAAAATGACATTATTTTAGATAATTCTCCAGCTTGTTCTTCATCAAAATATCCGAAATTTATATTCATCTTCTATGTGACTTTCATAATCTACTCAAGACAGTACTATGGATAAACAAATCATTTGATGTCCTCCTATTAAAGGATCCTGTTCTGCAATAAAATTAAGAAAAATCATATACTTTATATTAATTACTTGTACAGGAGCAATTGAGAGAGTTGTCTGATACTACATCACAGTCGTGTTACCTACTAGTCAATTTGATATTTCCATGTGATAGTGATCTCAAATTTTTAAATATTTAGTTAACTTTAATATTTTCTTTTTATCTGATTTTGTTCGCTCTGCTTCTTGCAATTTCCATTGGAACAACTAACAATACAGACCTATACATGAACAACTGAGATTGCAATTGGAATATCATTAGGCACACTAAATTATTTCCACATCACATCTTGCCATTTAAGAAAAATAGATAGGATAAAAGGCTTACAGAATACTGATTTGTTTGTGGAATTTAATGTATCATTTCTTCAAGTTATACAATGATTTCTTTTTTAAATGCATGATTTACTCAGATATGCATTCATTTATCAAGTGAATTGTATGTGTAATGTACATTTATGAAAATAATCTTACCGGTAACCAGTAATAATCTCTATTTACCAATAGTAATCTGGCATTGAACAATAAATGAAGTAAAATAAATAAATCATGTCACTCGACATACTACTGATACAATTGTGTGAAAGAAACCTACATGAATTTCAGACGTCATGCTGGGATAATTTCATTTCTGAGAAAATCAAGACATTTCAAACAATCTATGAACCAGTCTTCGATATTATTGGAAAATTGTCCAAGGTCCGATCTCGTTACCGACTTCAAGCAGCTGTTTCCTCATCTTGTTAAGAGTTTGAGAATTCTATAAATCATCCATTTTTGACAAGTTAGCCTGGAGAATTGGACGCAGACATGAGGCACCCTGCCTGCCTGTATGATCATGGACCTCCACGGTATGATTCATGGCAAGGATACGGTCGAGTTTACTTGATACAGTTATCAAACAAGCGCTGCCACGTTTCTGTGCTATAGCTTAGGAAAGGGAAAGGCTTGGTCTAATATTTTCAAAGTTTATCTATTTTTTCCCCATTCCAATTTTTAAAAAACATACAAAAACAAAATAATGTACAATCTATACATTAGAAAATACAAAGGAATACATGCATAAAAAGAAAAACAATTGTATGGGTAAGATTGTGATACTTTCCCTTTGTAAAACAGTTTATTGACTGATCTAAAAACTTAAAACTGGAAAATCATTTTATGGTAACTGCTTGTTGTTTTGTTAGGGAATGTTTTTTTGGGGGAGGGGGGCTCAATATAATACTTACATTTACTGTATTGTATATCTTATTGTTCATTCCATACATTCCATTTTGGGACAGGCTACTATTCTACATTTTTCATAAGATTTAAAAATGTTTATTTTAGTAGTAATTACATGATAACAATGCCATAACTTGTTGCATTTATTGATTGACAGAAAAATTATTATATCACTACTAGGTTTGGAATGTTCAACCAGAGTGCTTACATGTACATTGTACAAAATAATATTATGATTTTCAAAAACGAACATCTTCAAGTTTTGTCAAATTTTTAAAACAATTTTTTTCATTTATAAAGATGTTTCTTCCCAAGTTCACAAGCCCCCCTCATTAAAACATTACCTGAATGGTTTGACAAGAATTAAGATATAAATACATATCACAGACATTCTACATAATTATTTTCTTGCTTCCACTTATTTGCCGAATAAGCATACTGCCTCTCATGCACTGTGAGTAATTAACCAAAATGTGATTTTAAAAAGTTTACATACATGTAGACTGCCACTAAGCATAAATGAAATACCATTAACAATCACTGCAGCCTCCTTAAAATTACGAGCAAGCCCTTTCATGTACGACAACAACTATACGCATACAACCATAAACAATTGGTGTAACCTAGTTGACATCATTCTGAAGCTCAGCTAGCTCTACGGATCTGTGGTGCGATGACAGACCTTAACTCCCTGGTAGTAGCTGGGGACGGACCCACTGGCACCACAGCTAATACCTCCTAATCTAATTTCCCTAATTCTTGTTTTAGCAGATTTTAATAGCTCATCAAGAAGCCCTAGACCTTCCCTGCTTACGCTGTGATTGCTGTGCTGCTAGATGTTGACATGCTGACAACTTTGTTCCCCTGTACTTTCATTTTCAAATGTTGGATTTGAAGAAAATGACTTGGATCATGTAGTAGATTACAAGCCTTGCATGTGATAATCAATTAGAAATAATATCATCAAAAAGAAGATGTATCTAATAATAATAATGATAATATTCCGCTTTTATATAGCGCTTTACAGATATACTATTTAATGTCTGTTTGGACCCAGAAGGGTGTTAAATCTTCTTCTTATTCTTCTTTTTTCTTTTTCTTGAATGCCTCCACATGGCAAAGAACTGCGCTTAATTAATCACACAGGGCAAAACGTTGTACCGTTTGAGTTAGTTGTTAGGTGAGAAGCAAGAAGTTATATTAATCATATACTTTTACACAGCATCAATTAAGGCTCCTCTGGGTGCCGTTGCATACAACTTGCTATTATAAATAGTAACTTTGCTATTATGGTAACTTTTCATGGAATACTGGATTTTGATTGGCTCTTGAGCAACGTTACCATGGTAGCTACCATTGATGGCAAAGTTACTATGATAGTAAGTCTTTATGCAATGGCACCCTGGTTTAAAAAAAGTCAATATGTACAATAAATACAATACTCATTGTCAGCCTGAAATCTTTACAACGATTAAAAGAAATCCTCAGTTACACTTGAAATGTTTTTATTTGATTATGACTTAATGGGTTTCTGTCATTGTTGTGACTGTGATCCCTGCAATAGGTATCTGATCTCCAATTAACTTTACTGTTAGCAAAGGACATAATACATACTTAGTAAACTTTACTTTTATAAGGGCTACAAGTTGGTTCTACCCAATGTGCCTGAAAAAATAACCAACATAATGGCAGATTCCTTATATACAGAAAAGAGCTTGAAAAATAGCACTAGCCTGAAAATTTATACCTGCACTAAATTCATTTTCACAATTTCAAACAATTTCAAATGGATAGAAAAGAAAACTTGCAGTAAATATCCACAAACTTAACGGAAGTAAAGGCAATTTATCTTATTTAGATGATGGGTCTGTATTTATATGTTATTTCACTTTGAACTTCAGTCATAGGTTATTTATTTAATTTTGAAATTAAAATATTAAAAGCTATTGATGGTAGAACCCAATTACCCTGAATTAACAGAGAAAATATAAAGCCATCATATTGCAGTGGTGTTTTGTTATTATAATGCACTCTGATAGAAAAAAAAATTCTTTCAAATCCCAACAACAATTTACATTTTTAACACAGTAATACGTGGAATAGAATCAAAAGGTAAGAGGTGGAAACTCTCTGTCCGCAAACTAACAAGTAACACGCTCAGATTATTAAGACAAATCAATACAATAAAGAATAACAGTTGGTTGTTTTCACATAAGTGCATTTAACAGTTATGTTTCATTGAGTTTCAAAACATGTTTAATCTAAAAACAATGCTTAAAAAATTACCAATTATCACTGACCTCCTAACTCAAAAGAAAATAAATTGATTAGTAGGCTGGCAAGAGAACCTATCATTTCAATCATAGACCTATGTGTACAAAAAAAGTTCCATTCAAACTTACACGGTACTATAAAAGAAGTTCAATGTTAATGGCATTTTGGCAAAATTAAGTTACATGCTGTTATAAGCCCCACATCCAAACCAGTGCGAGTAGTAAACACCACAGAAAAACTCAGTTATTTAAAAATAATGATTTAAAAAATTGATTCTTACCTTCGATGTTATATCTAGTCCAGTCACAAACTTGGCACTGTTCTTGTTCTCATAGCGTTTCACATGCTTCTGCTTCTTCTGTTAATTGTGATATATATATGGAGAGAGAGAGAGAATAAGTGAAGGATAGAAAACAGGTTGACACCACTACTAGTCACTGACTGACTGACTGACTATCTATGAGCGGGAGGCTTAATCCTGAGAGCCTGTCTTTGAGAGGCGTCACGTTGCCCCCTTCCCCTTGTTGACGTTATCCCCTTCCCGCATGGAGAGTCTTTTGGCTATCACCCCGTGCGTCTTGACATCCCATAGGCTTGCTTACAAGCTCATGAATATTCATGAGGCAAGCTTAACATGCTCGTAGATCTTCTATGAGATACTGTTTTGTTTTTATCATAACATTGATAATTCGTCTGCTCTTGATTATTAGTGTGCAAATGTTATTGACAGTTATTAACATCTTTCAAAATGTGTATTCCTGTCTCCATTTTCAAGTCTTGTGTATCTTCTTCTTTTTTTCTTTTCTTTGGCCATCACTCCCTGCCTTTATACCCCATAGGCGTAAAACTGATCTTGTATGAATATTCATGGGAAAAAAACCAAGCTTTAAACACTTATAGTTTTTTGAGATATTGTTTTTGGTTTATCATAACATTTTGTCTGTTCTGCTTATTAAACTATTTTAGAGAAAATAATTAAATCAATAAAGCCATCTCTATGGATTTCTATCCTCATTTTTCTTTATTAGTATTTTTAACATATTTCTTTTTGATTAAACTCCCTTCACCTCCATCCCACATTTAAAAAGTACAAACTCAAAATAAAAGTCAATATAAAACAGTTGAAGGTCAAGTATCCCATAAACATAATGAATAATAAATTCATTTTAAACTCTTTAACATTCTGTTGTTTCCAGATTTTCATGCAAATAATCAATTTACATTTCTATTTCACCCCATATTATGAGAGAAACAATTTGAACTTGGAAGTAAAATTGAGGGCAGAATTTTGAAATCACCAACATGAAATTAATCAAATTGACAAATTGACAATAATGACTGTAAACAAAAAGTAAATTTCAATTTGTAAATATTTTATTCATAAGCAATTTTTGCTCGGGGAAAAGGGGACATTTTCGCCAAAATTGAATTAAATCCAAATCAACCCAGACTAAACCAATCCATTATGTGATTATGATAAATACACCATGAAATCTTAGTACTACTGCCACATACATGTATTCCTTCTCACCAAATCAAATAGTAATGTAATTTATTGGAAAAGAAAAAAAGAAAAAAAATACTGTTTGAATCTCAAGTTGTACTGTGAAGGGGGAGGGGGTAAATGGAACTCTGCATAAGATTAAAAAGTATCCATTGACTAAGCTGATAATTACATCATATGAAAACTAACAATCAGCTAATAGAACTTATGGCAACGAAAAGTCATGAAGAAAGCACATTGAACCAATCAGATGCTTAACTCATTAGTGGTCATACAACAGTACATCAGTTTGAACCAATCAGTTCCCTAAATAATGAATATTCATAGAGCAATAAACCCCTTAGAACCAATCAGTAATTTGTCCTTATGAATAGTCATTATGTACTACACCACCACTTGCATTCTTGCAACCAACCAATCAGCTACCTATGCTCATGAATATTCACAAGATAGTAAAGCCATCATATCCCTCAGTGGGTTGGGGACTGCTAAGCCCTGCGTGTTTCCCTCTCTTCCTCTCTTGAATATTAGATCACTTCCCCCCTCTAGTTGAAAGCCTGTTCCTTGCACTGCTCAACGATGGACAAACGCCTGTCAATAACTCATCAATATTCATGTTTGGGCTGACCTTGACATACCTCATGAATATTCATAATTATTGAGAGAATAAGTCTCCCCATTCTATTAGTCGGATGTCTGGAATATTATGAGTGTGAATGGAGTAAAAACATTGCCATATGGATTGCATAAATGTGTCTGTTTGACATTCTGAAGTGATCATTGTCATTCTCACCTCATTTTTTTTTCAACTTTGTCACTGAACTATTGGGAAATGTGTGATACAGTTTGACTCACAATTAACACTAGAATGATAAATAAATGAATAAATGACTAACTAAATAAATGAATAAATAGATAAATGAATAATAAATAAATAATGAATAAATAAATATTTCAATTTATAAAACAAAATAAATATAATTAATAGGGGCAAAGGGGGGGGGGGGGTGAGGGGGAAGGGAAGAGGAAGAAAGAAAGAAACCACTCTATTTATTTCAGTATGACATTGATCAAAGTGCAATTCCAAATCTAAAACATTAGTCTCAACCTCTTGCATATTCAGCAATTTCAAGCGAACAGAGCTCTATATCATGAATATTCATATTTGCTCCGCCGGTACCGCGCATACATACTTTCTCTTCGCCATGTTGAATCAACGATACAACATGGATGGCTTGGTTTAGAATGAGGAATCACCCTTTTTCCCATCGAAGACTTCTTCCAATTATAATTTCAAGTGTGGGCCGGGATGCCCAGAGGAGTCGAAAACACTGCAAGTTCAAATTTGTAATTACTATCGTTTCATATTTTGAAAAAAATGTCGCCACAACGTTTGATTCATGTTTCAGGATTCAGGGGACTGAGATACTTGGTAATGAGGGCTAATGCATTTATTAGCAAAGGGCCCTCATGCATCCACTTAGTTTTGAACCCTAATCTTTCCAGTTACGAGACCACTGCTCTACCACTACGCCAAGGCACCTCCTCTTACAGTACTTTAGCTGTCTCTGTTTTTGTCAGGAACAACTATAATAAAATTAATATGGATTGCAATTTTCAGTCTTTAAGGCCCTACATAGGTACAAATAGAACAAGAGTCTTTCTCACCTACACAAGTGCAGTTCTGCGAACTTTACTTGGCTCATACATAGTCACGAATATATCAATGAGTCATTTATCCTAGCATGTGTGTGCCAACGTGTTTAGGAGACCTTGGCTCATGCATATTCATGCTTATGGTAATGAGTGAGTTGTCGTGCCAGCCGTAATAGGACTAGGAAGTGTGATAATGAGGTCCCAGTGGCTGTCACCTCTCATTCAGACAGTATTCACCGCTCCAGGGAAATCAATAAATAGACTCACATGTGAACATGTTAGGCCCGTCCACACTCCCGATTCACGATTCTGACCTGCTGTTGGAATCGGAATGTGAACGTGCCCCACTATTTTCCAACTCACAGGAGGCTGAGAAAGACTTGTCAGTTTAGGATATAACTGATTTCTGTAGAGAGTTCATGAAAGTGTTTACCATTAAACGTAAATGTTAAAGAGGTTCACATTGGGAAGGGCATTCTGGATGGTAGTATTTCCCTAGATTCTACTAGGGTTCACATGATTTGGGTTATTTCTAGATCAGTTTAAACTTGTCATGTATTTCGTTGTCTTGTTTTGACCACTCAACGTGTCCTGCCGCTGCACTAATGTCCCTTGGCAAGACATTAATATAAATTTGCCTCTCTCCACCCAGGTATTAAAAAAGTACAGGTAGGAATGAATTCCTTGAAGATGTGAGCAACGGTTTCAGTAGCCTAGCAGAGCCTGGGTAATATTGGAGCGCCTTGAGCACCTTGCATTGTGGATATATATGTGCTATAAAAATATCCAATATTATTAAAATTACTACTCTCTACAGCAATTCCCCTCCTCCCCCCCCCCCCCCCCCCCCCCCGTGAATATATTGTCTGTGGAGTGCAGAGTGGGGTGATGGTTTTGATGGTTGGAGGCTAGGGGGGGGGGGAGAGATTACCCACCGGAAGATTACCAGGGGGTGGGGGTTTGATATCCTAAGGGAGAAGTTTGAAACCATTTTTATCATCTCCTTAAACATGGTTGTGATTAATACACTCCCAAGCAAGAGAAGACCACCACAGACTCACAAGGGGACCATGTGACCTATAATCCAACAAATCAGATTAGAGAAGATAGGTGGTAAAGGTTAATTGTCTATTAGTCCCATGTGACTCAATGCATGTAGGTAAATGAAATAGTTTTAAAGCATGCTGCATTTATTATATACAGTAGAAATTAAATAGTATGAGTAGAGAATCACTAGTTTAAGCATAGTTTTCATATAGAAATTCACTCATTTGAAATAATACAAATTTAATGAGTTAATCATTAGGACTTAACCCCCGCCCCCAGAATATCAATCACGGACAATTATCCCCAAACCCTCGGCAATCACCCCGGATAACTAACTTACTCGTTAACTTTCCCCTCTGAAATGTACATGTACATGTAGGTAAAGTGTGTTTTAATGTGAGGGTAGTTATCAGGTGGAGTGGGAGGGGGTGGTAATTGTCCTAGCAAAAAATACAACATTGTATGAGAGAATCCTTTGACAATAAAAGGCTAATAGCCTAATCTCTGCAAGGAAACTTACAGTGTATGCAAATTAAGGAATATACTACTTCATATACTACTTCATATTAAGGAGAAAACGTCCATTAAGTATCATTAAAAACGACAAAATATATCCTCTGAGCTGTTAACCCACCTGTTATTCATGAGATGTGTTTGTAACCTGAGGGTAATTCTTCATTTCTTGAAACTCACACTATTCCTTAGACTAACTAGGATCTTGGTGGGACAGTAAACTAGGGTAAGAGGGTATGGATCGAGAGAGAGGAAAGATGTCATATTAGCCATGTTCACACGGCACTTTCAAACTTTCAGTTTACAAAACTTCAAAGTTTGAAACATCGATCAATCCACTATTTACGATTAGGGTTCACACGGGACTGAAAAGAACAAGTGTTTAAAAAGTATTTAACTACAAGCCGGGCAGGCAGTTGATTTAACCACAAGCTGGCATAACCTCCAAGTTAAATGCATCAGCACGCCACATAACTTCAAGTGAGGATCCATAGCTGCTTGCACTTGTTGCGCTAGCCTTAAAATTGTTGTGGTTTATAACTTTGAGTAACAGTAAACTTACAGTTTCTGTAATGTCCCAAACTACAAGATAAGTTCTGAATTTTAAAAATTTGAATTTTCAGATAGTTGTTTCACTT